CGGAATCTATGGGACACAATGAAAACAGTTCTAAGAGGGAAATTCATTTCCTGGAGTTCATTCCTCAAAAAAGGAAAAAACCAACAAATAAACGAACTCACACTACATCTCAAAACCCTAGAAAAGGAAGAGCAAAACAACAGCAAATATAGCAGAAGACAAGAAATAATTAAAATCAGAGTGGAAATCAACGAAATCGAAACCAAAAAAACCATTGAAAAAATYGATAAAACTAAAAGTTGGTTCTTTGAAAGAATAAATAAGATCGACAGACCCTTAGCCATGCTAACGAAGAGGAGAGAAAACTCAAATTACTAACATAATATTTGCCCAATATTTGTTCATTAAGTACTTAAAGATCGACCATGTGTCAAATATTGGAGGGAAAATTAGGACCCAAACATACTCTTTATTGTGAAAGACTATTGAGACCAGATTTCAAGGCAAATATATGAGCAAAAACCAAGGTGGAAATTCTCAAACAGAACAAAAAGCCCAGTGGTAAAACAAAACTGTTTGCTAATTTTCATTATCATTTTATTCTCTTTCCATTATGATTGGTTTCAAAGAGTTTAATTACAGTACCTGTGTTAGATGGATCCAAAATTAACTGAAGAGATGGTGTATTTGTTTGGCTGGCTGGAATATCTCCAAATGAATGGTCTGAAATCTCACTGGAACTCTGACAGTCAAGACTGCTTTGTCCCTTCTCAGAATCTCTCAAAATTTCTTCCATGGCTTTTTCCAGTTGTTCATCACCATTAGAAACTATCTATTAATTTAGCAAGATAACTGTTTCAATCTCATTATAGTTCTGAAGATTAATGTCATGAAAATCTTTAATTTCTAGATGGAATAAAAACAATCTAAATATTTAAAGATATAGTTACTGAATAGTAAGAGTTAATACAGTTACACTTCATTGCACATAGATATATTAAAATCCTGAATAATAAAATCAAGTAAATAAGAGGCAGATTATTAGTTTCACAATTTCCAACTACATTTGACATAACATCTTATTTATAGAGGTTGCTTTTCCTTTCTTTTTAAGGAATACATCCTAAAAATCACATAATCTTAAATTTATGTGTTTTAAAGAAAAAACAGATAAGTTTAAAAAGRACCTGCTACAAATATCATTTAAATGATCATCTCTCTTATCGTGGTATAAACATATTTTCAATTTCTTTACAAATTGTTTGCTAGCTGCCAAAAGGAACTGCTAATTTCCTTAAATTTAAGTTGACTTTATCTTCTTTTTAAAAGCAGGTGAGGCAAAAAGCCCAAATAAATAAGTATCTTAAACACACAATGCTAAAAATACAGAAACCTAAAAGTAAAACCATGATCATTTGAATAAGCTAATAAAACAACATGTTCTTTAGGGCTGCAGTTATAGCTCAGTGGCAGAGCGCTTGCCCAGCATGTGTGAAGCACTGGGTTCAATCCTCAGCACTACATAAAAATAAATAAGATAAATATATAAAAAGTATAATAACATTATTTTTTAAAAACTATATGTTCTTTACATAATATAAATGAATATTTAATAATCTCATTTTTACAAGTTATTTTATTGAGCTGATATGTTAATACACTTTTGATGCCATGCTTACTACTAAGTAAAAGTCATAAATAATAAATAGCACTTTTGGCTATTTTCTATTCCTGTTTCTAAAGGACAATTATACAGTTTTCATGTACATACACCTGGGTTTATCACTTCCTTTTCTCTGACTTAAAAAAGTCAATCCGAAAATGACAAAAAGGACTATAGAAAAAGTTAACTGCTAAAAATGCAAAACACACTTTTAGAATAAATATTCACAAGTCAACTATTAAATCACCTACCAGAATGTTACCAGCTCCTTTAAAACATGAAAAACAGGGGAAAAAAGCCTCTAAAGAAAAACATGACTTTCATGTAATTAATTTCTAAAACCCATAAGAGAAACAAAAACAACCAGATAAATTAATGTAAGATTTAACCATTAAGTTTAACTTGCCAATCACCCCTTCTCTTTTATTTTTCCTTCTATTTCCTCCTCCTAAAATTCCAAATGAAAGGATAAAAATAATCTGGACCAAAATACTTTTAAAATCCCCAAACCAAATAATTAGTCTCTGGATAAATCAACCCTTGACTTTTATTCTCAAGGTCTTTTATTCTCAAGGTCTATACTTGCGAAAAACCTTAGATCTTTATAATCTCCTGAGAGCTTCAAAAAATGATAATTTTAAATAGTGCCATATTAGAAAAGAAAAAAATACCTTCAGTTGAGGTTTCTCATCATCTTTTGTAGAAGTATCATCTGTGTGCTGAGGAACCAAAACAAATTCTTCACTGTTCAGAGTAGCCACAGAATCAGATGACCCACTAACCTTCTGTAGTGAAGCTCTGACCTCCATTTCAATTCTGAGAACTTCTCTTTCCCACATTCACCTGGCCAAACTACAGGGATCAAAAAACAAACAACAACAAAACCCAATGATTAAAARCTTGAGCTAAATAAAAACATTAACTAATAAAGCTTTAAAAAATGGCACATGTGAAGAAAAATCCTGCTAATTATCTCAAGATTAGGAATATTACTACCTTCTTAGACTGGACCTCATAATGGAAATGTACTCTCTTTTCTGAGTTTCCAGATAAAAGAACCACCACATTGTTCCCTGTAAAACATACAAACTACCCACATCTCAACTAAAAATATTTACCTCTATTTATTTAACTCTTATTTATCTTAGACTTTTTTAAAAATATTTTTTCTAAATATGTTTTTTAGTTGTAGATGGATACAATACCTTTATTTTTTATGTTGTGCTGAGGATAGAACCCAGTGCCTTCCACATGTGAGGCGAGCACTCTACCACTGAGCTACAGCCCCAGCCCTAGACTGTTTTTTTAATAGAGCAAATAATTAAACATGATACTAGAAACACCTACATATTCTCTCTCTCTCTCTCTCTCTCTCTCACACACACACACACACACACACACACACACACACACACACACTTCAGCTGGGCACAATGGTATATTCCTGCAGTCCCAGCTACTTGGAAGACTGAGGTAGTAGGATCACTTGAGCTCAGGAATCTGAGACCAGCTTGGACAACACAGCAAGACCCAAAAATAGAAAATCATTTTGATTACTTTATAAACTCCAAATGCTTTTTAAAATGCTATGTCCTCAAGACCAAATACTGTACTTTTAACTGAGGTTAACTAATATAGAATTCAATACCCTAAGTCATGTATCTCTTCTTTTCCAAACACATAGACCCTTACCAATACTTAACAGTAAACACATAAAAAAGGAAGGCTTTCATATTACACTTACATAGCAAACAATGTTTCAGTAATCAAATACAGAGTAACCCTGTTTTCTTGATAAATCCCTACTTTATCCTGGTAGAAACAACACTCTTTGATTTCCAGAAGTTCAAATACTCACACAACTAATTCTGAATGAAGATATATACTATGTAGCAGAGATTGCTCGGCCCTGGAGTGATATGAGCGAACAAGGAGGGGTAGCCTGCTATCCTAAAGCTTAACTAGTGAGCAAAAAGAGGCAATTCGGGGGCGGGGGGGGGGGGAGATACGACTGAGAAACTGTAGGGAGTGTAAGGATAACTTTTTAAAGAAAGATAGTAGAAACAATTCTCTGAGCAAACTGTATGAGCAAAAACCTGGAAAATAAAAAATAACTAAATATTAAACAATATGTACAGTAACCAAATGGATAATGTGAAAAGAAGGCTACSCTGAAAAACTACTGGACCCTGTAAATCAAGAGAAGTCCATGCATAAAATCCCCTCAGAAATATTCTCCTTTTCGCCTTCCAATTTTGGATTCTTTTCATTGCCACATATAAATGTGGCTGCAATATTCTATTTTGCCATTAGATGACACTATTACTCTTGGCAAAATAATAATTTCCTTCCCATTTCAAGTTACACTTTTAAAACTTACTCTCCAACTTTATCAAAAATCAAAGTTCAGGGCTAGGGTTGTAGCTCAGTGGTTGAACACTTGCCTCGCATGCTTGGGGCACTAGGTTYGATCCTCAGCACCACATAAAAAAACAAATAAGTAAATAAAACAAAGATATTGTGTCCATCAAAAACTAAAAAAAAAGTTTAAAAAATCAAAGTTACCAAGAATATCAAAGTAAAGAAAAAAGACACTCAAGGCTAGTATAATTATCTAGCCATCATTTATCTCTATTAATGCATATGAATATCCTTCCTTTT